CAAAAAATGATATGGGATTGATTGAAAGGGATAAGGAAATGAATTTCTTGCCATAGGGAAATAGTCCAAGGGAACAAGGGTGAAGTGTGAGGAAGACAGGAAGGGGAAATAACAAAAATAAAGATGTGCCGTATACACAACCTAATAACCTCTGTTAATGTAAACACTGTATGCCATACTATGAGCTAAGACAAATAACATCAACAAGAATGAAAAATGGGGTGGGAGAACCAGAGGCGGAGGGAGGGAGGGGAAGAAAGGTGTCTTAGTCACTTTTCTCCTTGCCAAGACAAAATCCCCAAGGCCCAAAGCTAAGGGAGGAAAGGTTTATTTAGTTCACAGTTCGTAAAGGTTTCAGTCCATAGTCAGCTGATTCCAAGGCAGATGGCTTCACAGAGGAGAGTAATTCTTCATGGGCAGAAGACCACAAAAGCAACAAGCATGACAGAGAGAGAGAGACAGACAGACACAGAGACAGAGACAGAAACAGAGACAGAGATAAAACGAGAGCCAAACCTCTTTCTGTCCCTTCCATCATGCCCAGTCTCCTGGGATGATAACCCAGTCAGTGGGCTCCTGAACAGTCACCCACCCTTAGTCCCAGCGTTGCATTACTAATCAATCACACACTTTCTATTCAGCCACCTCCAAAAACACTATGACAGGATGAGGCTTTGGGGGGCATCTACACAAACCATAGCAGAAGGGAAGTAAACGGAGCACAAGGAATGGAATTGTCGTGTACTGCCAACAGTTCCTAGGAAACTTTTAAAAGTAATTTATTAAAGAGAAGTAACATTGTACTTTGTAGCCTAGTGACTGTAGTGATTAGAAACCATAAGCTCATGCAGAGAAAGCTTTTGTCACTTGTAGATATTTTGTGTTAAGAAGAAGACAGGCACACCCCTTGCAGTTCATATTACATTTAGTTTGTCATTCTCAGAAAAAAAAGTATGAAATAATTTGGTTGAACATTATTTTTGTGTTGAAAGTAATATACAGATAATTCCACTTATGTAGATTACTCCAAAAGAATTGAGAATAATGGCTGTCTTCATTTATACTATGAATACTTCTTCACTGTGTTAGTAAACTTGTCTGAAAATATATATCTAAGTATTCTCTGATTTGGGGTTTTGGTTCCCCTTTATGTGTCCAGCAAGACTCTTAGCACCTTGACTGTGCCTCTTCACTCAGTTCAGAATTATATCATGCATTTTAAAATCTTTAATACTTCATTTTACAAATTTACACAAAAACATCCAAACACAAAAGCAGATACCTGAAATCTCCCTTTCATTTTTATAGCAAGCTGATAGTGTAAAACTAAGTGACACTTTCTAGCTGATCGTTAGAAACACAAGATGAATATCCTATAAAGGCCTTAACCTTGGAAGTTTTATCTACCTTTTTACCCACCATGGTTCTCCCTGCAACATTCACTATCAGTAATAATATTTTGTATGTAAGGTTTTCACGGTTTTTTAATCTTTTCTGTGTTCCCCGAGGGAATAAAGTGATTTGTCTCTTGTTCCCTGCTATATCCCTGTGCCATGAAAGGTTGTCTGTACCAGAACGTAGCGATAAGTGGACAAATGGAAGCTAGTGGATTTTTCAGTTACTGCTTCTTTTCTAGACCAAATTCCCTGTCCAATTTTGATCTTTTTTGCAAAATGTTAGCTTGTGAAACTTACTGGAATTTTATGAAGTATGACAACATGTCCTCAGTATTTTAAGACACCTCACTAAGAAATTTGGATTCCTATAATTGTACCATTGTCTTACTATGCAATTTTCTTCTTACAAACCTTTGAAAGTCCTTCTCATTCTAAAAATTATTATGAAGATTGTTGATATCAAAGGAACACGTGATCTGGGATGTAGGCATTATAATAAATTGAATAAAAATCTGCTCCTAATCAAGGTCCTACTTCCAAAGGGATAATGTTACTAAAAGCAATGTGACTACAAAAGTGGTGGCACATGCCTATAATCTCAGCACTTAGGAGCCTGAGGCAGGAGGATCACTGCAAGTTCAAGGCCAGCCTGGGCTGCCTAATAAATTCAAGGCCAATCTGAAAACTGACCCAGAAAACCAAAATGGAAAAGACAAAATGTGGCTTGGATTATTTACCCAATTGTGTTTGAACTTCTGTTCTAAAATCTAAACAAGTACACACTGGTCTTATAACTTAGACCTCTGTAAACTGCATGCATGCCTGCAAACGCCAGTCTCCCAGAAGTTACACCACATAAATTTGTTGAATGAATGTGATTACATGAACATCAATATTAATGTGAATATAAAAGATTATAACATGCTATTGGGTGCATAAAAGTATTCTTTGAGTGCTTAAAGATTTATTTGATATTTACTGAAGTGTGTGTTTTTTAAAGAGCTTTGCTAGCCAGCAGTTTAAGAATAAAGAATTGTCCTTTCAGCTTTAATTCTGGAATACAGTACTGGCTGTGTGAGCAAACCAAGTAGGTACTCCAGATATCACAGACTTAAAGGAGTTTCAAGCATGAGCGCTGTGTCAGAAACCCTCACAGTCCTGCTACTTGTGAGGATGCTACCATGGCTTAATTCATTGGAACACAGAAACTGTTTTCTAGAGGGTTTTTGGTGGTATAGAGTCATTGAATAAAATTTAGATACTCTGGAAGTAGCTGCATAGCTTCCAGTCACCGTGATCTTAAAAACAACCTGGATATGGTCCATAGGAGTAGAGGGGCAGATTATCCTGGGCCCCGCTCTGCCTCCTTTCCTTCGCCTGGCTGGTTCCGCCTCCGTGATAATTCTCAGATCTGCGTGTCTTCCTACACTGCACTACCCCAGCTCAGCTCAGGCCAGCCCCTCTCCTACCTGGATTATCACAGACACCTGCTGACTGGCCTCTGGAGTTCCAGCTCTGTGTTCGCTTTGCATTGAGCCAGACTCCTCTTTATACAGGAACTGATGTTTAGAAAGAAATTCAGCTAATCCATTGTGCTCCCCAATCCCTCTCCAGCACCGGCTCTGGAGGACACTGGCTCCGAGGATGTCCTGGCCTGGCCCCTCTGTGTTTCCAGTCTCATTTATCATTGTTTTACATTTTTTAATTATTTTCTTTTTAAGGACATTTTAAAGAAGTCACTATCACCTGAAGGTCCCCGGATTGTAATAAGAAGAAATTAATACTGCCACGATAGTTTAAAGATGAAAATAATGCCCAAAGTGCCCCGTGCTTTAAAAAATAGTCATCAGTGTCTTATGTGTTTTATACTTTTTTGGCCTATTAGTTGGACCGTTAATCTGTATGTCTGATAATTAACTTTATGAGGACTTACAAATGAATCTGATGCTGGCAAAATAAAAGCGGGTAGAATAAAAAAGGGCAGATGGAAGGAAGGAGGGAAAAAAGAATTGAGATTTGTTCTGTACATGAACCAGTTCCCTACAATGAATCAGTCATTATGTACTGCGAACACGCAGTGTTAAGAACTAAATATTTTTAAAAAGAGAAAAAAAAATAGTTGTTTGACAGTAAAGCGCTTTGTTAAACAGGGCAGGGTGGCAAGTTTCAGATGCTGAGCACTTGCCCTGCCCATTATCCAGCAAGGAATCTTCTTTTCAAAGTCAGGAGTAGTGAACAAAACAGGCAAAAGTCCCTGCCCTTATGGAGCTCATATTCCAACAGAAAAGAGAGCAGTAAACCAGAGAAATTCAATATGATGTGATAAGATCAGTGCTAAACAGAAAAAGCAAAAAAGGGAAATGGCAGTTTGTTTGTAAAAGAACAGAGCTTTTAAAAGGTCCAGGGGGATAGTCTTTGCCACTCCTCTCTCCTTCCTCTTTCTTTACTCCTTTCTCTCACTTTCTGTGCTTTGTTGTGTGAAGACAGCCCAGGTTAGATCTCACTCATTCTCCTGTCTCCCTTCCCGAAGCTGCATAATACTCCTGGCTGCTCTCCCTTTAGACTCAAGATTACAAAGAGCTCCAGGTAGTAAAGCACTTACCTAGTGCTCCAGCGCCCTGGGTTCAACCTCTAGCACTGCAAAGAAAAAAAATATGTTCATACAGGGCACCTTTAATGCTGAAGGTGATCATTCTGTGTATTTTACGTATTTGATGATGATTTCATAGCCTCTTCTGTCTCATATTTTTTGCAACTCCCTGTTACCACTTTCAAGTGATGACCTCAGTTCCTGTTTCACTGGGAAGGAGAAAATGTCAGAGAAGAATTTAAAATTTGCATCTGCATTTGTACGTTCAGTACGTCTGTTCCCATGTACCCTTCTGCAAGAATAAACTGTCCATGGTTAAAGAGAAGGACGGACTCATCTTTTATCCCTAGATTCTATTTCTGCCTTGTTATACTGCCTCCTTGTTGGATTATTAATTAAATACAAAGACCTTTATTTAAAAAAACAGTTCCCATGAAAATAGAATATCTATCATAGCATCATGTAGTAATTAACTGCCCTTCAAGAGAAATAAATAGAAATAATCTATGGAATAAGCAATTTAAAACAAGCCAGGCAGTGCCAGGGATGGTAGCACACACCTGTAGTCCCAGAACTGGGGAAGCTGAGGCAGGAAGATTGCTGTGAGTTCAGTCCAGTTTGAACTGCATAGTGAAACTCTGTCTCAAAAAGACAAAAACACAAGACAAAAGAAAATAACAAACAAACTGCTAAGGAGCATTTGTAGTTAAATGAAATCTTGTTTTGTAGATTTATATAGTTATTCCACCAGTACTGATCAGATATGCCAGATCACATTTGGTAAAAAAATGCTACCAAGCCTGAATCATAAAAGTAATAGTTTGTATCTTGACTCCAGGTGTGTACTTGAATCCAATAAATACAATTAGCATTCTTACCTTTATTTTCTGTTTCAAACCTTACTTCATTTTCTGCCAAGACTTAAAAACTAAGTCTTAATTAAATGACATCCCGAGCCCTAAGTTAAAACTACCAAATTTTTAGTAATTTAGTTATTATTTTTTACCTTGTAGATAAAAGGAAAAAGGAAATGGAATATTTCCTTCAAAATCAAGAAAGTAATATCATACTTGACATCAAATATAGGTAAGATTATTACTTTTCTTATACTAGGCAGGTTTTAAAGAGGCTGTTACAGCAATACAAAAGTAAAAAACATACCTGTGCTGCAAGACACACTGTATTCTTAGCTGGGGAGTCAAATTATACTAATTGAAGATCACCTTGATACTGAGTTTTAGGCAAATTAATTTTTACTTTTAATATTTTATTTCTTTTACTATTGATGAATCTAAACTTATTAAATTTGACTAAATTTGTATGTAATTGCCAAAGAATACATTGTCCTCAAAGCTTACTAATTAATGGTTATGAATTAATGTGAATTTTTGAACCACCCATGTAGCACAAGTAACAAGCATTATGTTCATTTCATTTCCAATTTATGTAAAATCCTAGAGAACTGTTTGTCTTTCCAAAATATTTTTTATATTTTATGCATAACTTGACAGCCTGTTAGATATTTAAAATCATAAATTAGATTCATATTTATCAATAGTTAATTATTATACTATTAAAATACCAATTTTAAAGATCTAATTTCTTTTTTCTGTGAGTAACTAATTTAAGCTATTACTATGGAAATCAATTGCAGTATGTGAACAACTAGAACATTAAATTTAAGTCCAAGCTCTGCCCTACTTAATTTTTCCAGGCCTCAGTTTTATCAACTATAGGAATAAAAGGTGGATTAGCTTGCTGGTGTTATTTATGAAATAGTATAAATATCAAAATATCCAATCTTTAGCTGAGCATGGTGGTACACACCTGTAATCCCAATCCTCAGGAGGATCCTTGCAAGTTTGAGACCAGCCTGGGCTACAAAGTGAGCTCAAGGCCAGTCTGAACTGCATAGGGAAACCCTGTCTCAAAAAGACAAAAAAAAAAAAAAAAAAAAATCCAATCATCTCATAGACTATAAAGCATCATCTAAATATTACATGTTATTGTTAAAACTAGAGATAGTCTTGCCCAGATTTGTTGTTTTTTTAAATTGAATTACTGTCCCTGAATTGCTAGTCCTTAAATGTCTTGATATTTCAACTTTTCCGTGCTTTTTATAATCTTATTATTTCAAGCCCAAATAGATATTAATTATTGTTCCTTTTCTCTCTGTCATTCTAGTTCAGAGTAACACAGTTTTTAATAAATCCATAAATAATTACAAAGGGAAAGAATTTTCCTTTTTGCTCTGATTAAAGACAGGAGAAAAAGAACCAGAGTTTTATGGCCACTACTGTTCCTGTTTTTATGACCATTTAGCTTTTGTCCCATGAATTAGAGTACTGTTGTAGATTTTCTTTGCTTTGTTGGATTGGGCTTTGGATGGAACCTAGGCCTTGTACATGATAAGTTCATACTCTACCACTGAGCTTGCCTCTAGCTCCCTGCTTTTATTTAAAAAGTCCCATGTGCTGTGACATTTTGGGTAGGTTGATAGCTTAAGACGGTTGAGGAGCTCTTATGAAAAATCCTTGGGAGAATGTGTATTTGGAATTTGGGATTTTTTCAGATTTTGAAAAATCTCTGTCTGTCTGTCTGTCTCTCTCTCTCTCAGTCTCTCTCTCTCTCTCTCTGTCTCTGTCTCTCTCTCTCTCTCTCTCTCTCTCTCTCTCTCTCTGTATATATATATATATATATATATATATATATATATATATATATTTCATCATATGTTGGGGATGAGACCCAGGTCTGAAGATGAAATTAATTTATGTTTCTTATACCTCATGCACACAGAGCTTGAAGGTAAGTTTGTACAATATTTTTACTCCATCTATAGTTTGACTGCAACCCATCATGTGAAATCGGTGGTGGCATCATGTGGACATCCAAAAAGTTTTAGATTTTTGAGTATTTTGAATTTCATATTTGAGTTACGGGTGTTCAACCTCAACTTAAAGGTAAATTGGCTACCAAAAAATGAAGTAATTTTATTTTTCACATGCTTGAACATTCCTAGATGCAGTCTTGTTTTTTAAAACATTTTTTAAAAAATAATTATGTTTAAATTTGTTTGTTTGTCTTTGGTTTTTGTTTTTTGAGACAGGGCCTCACTATGCCTTGTAGTTTAGGCTGGCCTTGAACTTACTATGTAGCCCAAGCTACATAGTAGCCTGGAACTGACAGTGATCTTCCTGCCTCAACTTCCCAAGTGTGGGATTACAAGCATGCATGATTGCATGTTAATTTTAGAAAATATAGAAATGTAACAACGCATTATAGTCTAATAAAGTAGATGGTATTTCACGAGACCATTTAATTAAGTTTATTCCCTTCCAGGAAAGGACTATGTGACTGTTAATACTGTGAAACAATCTGGTACTTAAGCATCTAAAGAGATGCAACATAGTACTGCAGAGAAGAAAACTGAGGCATCGGCCCAGCCTGAATGTGAGTCCCACTCAGGTCCAGCCCTTCGTAGCCACCTGTTAGTCCTGTATGTTACTGTGAGGCTTTCTTCACAGGGCAACAGATTAAGGTATTGACGCTATGCACATTAAATATTTAAAAGGCAAAGAGTGAGCACTGGGCTTGGGGCGGGAGCAGTCACCTTTCTGAGTGCTAAGAGATTGTGGCATTCAAATAAACCATGAAGTAATGCAGGAGATGTCTGGAAGAAGCTTAGGAACATATTTCACCTTTAATTGCATGAAAGCATTACTGCTACAAAGTGCTAGACTTTAGGCAAGATTTATTTTTATGAATCATCTTTTTCCTCATGAGAGACAAATAATGCTAAAAAAAGTATATGAGACAAATAAATATCTATTAAATTATTTTCACTGACCTAACTTAGCTATTAGTCACAGAATTATATGACAGTCATAATAAATTTATAATTTTGATGTAGAAAAACTTATCCCAGTAATAAAATATAAAAATATTGCTCTATCCTGGACCTATTACAGCCGGGTCCTTACTAGGCATTAGCGATGCAGTGTATGCAATGTTGTAGCAGTAGTATACTGGAGTGACTGCTCGATGCACTTCCACATCATTCGGAAAGGATTCTTTACCCTCCCTACAAGTAGCTTTGTTTTAGCATGATTCAGTGACACAACCAAATCTTCAGTTAGTTTATTAATAACTGGAAAATAAGTAATAGAGTAAAACATTAACAAAACAAGTGGTTCACTTGATGCATTTGACTGTATCATGAATTATAATTCTGCCATTTATAACAAAAGTATTTATCAAAAGCTTTCAACACTGAGTCTTTTTATGTATATATTCCCAGCACCTTTCTTCCCAATGTGCCATTATTGTGCCTTATTAAGCACCAAAGGTTTCCCTTAAAAATATGCCCTTTAGAGTAAATGCTAGGGTTGCTTATCTCTTAGGTTGGACTCTCACAATAAGATACTTGGTTGTTTACCTTTGTCCTTTTTACTTCATAAATTTAAATTCCTATAAATTGGCTCAATCAATGTGAGTACAGTATAACCACCAAATCTTTAGGATGTTAGAGTTTTGTTTTGTTTTTGTCTTTTTCATTTTTATCGGTACTGGGGATCGAACTCACGACCGCCTGCTTGCAAGGCAGGTGCTTATGAGCTAAATCCCCAGCCCCAATGCTAGAGTTCTTAATGAACTGATTTTGCTTCTTTTGGAAGCCTCTTTCCTTCTGGCAATGAACAGTTAAATATGATCACCAGATACCTGTGATTTTTCATGATAGTTAAATAGAATGAGAAATAATTAAAATAATTTTATAGAAAATCATTTTAATATAAAAAAAAACTTAGGTTCAAAAGCTTTTTAGAATTTTCAGCTCCCCTGTGGTATCTTCTTTCAGTTCAAGGTTTAATTTATAAAATTTTATTATTTCATCTCTTTTACTCTTTGATCTTGGAATGTATATTTCTAAAAAGAAGCAGTTTTAATTGTTAACTTATTAATGTTTAACTGCTGTAAATAATATCTACTAATCTTACTGGCATGCAGGATCACTGCTGTTATTTTCATAGCTTAAATTTTTAAAAAATCATTATGAAAAAAAAAATCACATGAGACTTTTCCTTACCAAATATCAAAATATACAATTTTGTTCATGGTAGTGATGACATTTAAAAATCGGTGATTAAAAGATGATTTTAGAAAAGTAGAAAATCATTCCTATTGTATTCTACAGAATAGAATGTTCCTTATTCTCTGTATAAAATAAATTCCAGATGGATCAAAGTATTAAGTATTCAGGCCTGCAGTACAGCTTAGTGGTACAGCGCCTGCCTGGTAAGTGTGAGGTCTTGAGTTTGATTCCCACTTCCAATTAAAAAAAAAAAGTACTGGGGCTGGGGATTTAGCTCAGCGGCATAAGTGCCTGCCTTGCAAGCAGGCAGTCGTGAGTTCGATCCCTGGTACCGATAAAAATGAAAAAGACAAAAAAAAAAAAAAAAAAAAAAAGGAAAAAAAAAAAAAGTACTAAATATTTAAAAAGGTATTAGAAAAAATAAGATCATTTTTATTCTCATGATATAAAAAAGTCTTTCTAATCAAAACACAAAACTCAGAATCCAAAAGAGAAATTTATTTAATCCTAAAAATAAAAAATGAAAATTCTCTGTAAGAGTATTAAACAAAGGTGATGAACAAGTAGCATGCTGAAAGAATAAAATGAAAGATGAATGCACAGAGTTCATGAAGTTCTACGACTTAAGAAAGAGTTAGAATGATGGACAAAGTGCAGGAACTGGCGGCTCACGAAAGCTGCGATGTGAACTCCTGTAGACGTGTCAGAGCTAGTGCAGCCGTGACATTCTTTGAAGAGATGCAAATTTAAGCAATAACTTTACCAAGCACATTGGCAAACGTGTAAAAGGTGGTTAGCATCTAGGATCTGCAAGCAGTTGGGGAAGCTGGAACGGCACACAGTCTTGGTGGGAATGCAGACTAAAAATCCTTTTTATGAGGTAATATGGCAGACGCCAGGGAAGCCTGAACTCAAGATCCTCTCGGGGTTCCCGACAGGAATGTGTCCTCAGGAATGCTTGCATGTGTATTGACGTGCAGCAGTGCGCCTGTCCCTGTGCTTAGTCAGGTCCTTCACGGTGACTCTCAAAGTGACCCCTTTACTCTGATTTGTCTGTCATCAAATTTTCCCTCCTTTCCCATCTTTTATATTGCTGTCAGAATCATCTTCCTAAAACACAAATAAAATCCTAGTCCTCCTACTTCATGATTTCAGTTCTGTTGTTGCCCGTAGGTTTTTCACCATCTTTTCTCCTGCTTGTTTATCTGCCTCTATAATCTGGAAGTGTTTGGCAGCCCTGTCACAGCAGCCTAGTCTGCACGTGATCCCCTCATCACAGTTACTGAGCAGGCATCATTCTTGAGGTACTGGAGATTCAGCAACGACCAAAGTCCCAATTCTTTTTTTCATTTGTTACTCACAAGGAAGTAGAAAATATCAAATATATACATGTTTAAATACATACAGTACTATGCCAACAATTTAAAATCCATCAGTATGATAAGGAATGCTTGGATACCTCACAGGGTGGACAAGAAAGGTGTGTGAACAAATGAACTGTAAGCTGATATACAATGATTCTAAGGATCCTGTCTTTTAAAGATCAGGAGAAAGCACATAAAGCAAAACAGCTTGTTTGAAAACCCCTAAGATAAGAATACACTTGATACATTGGATGGGAAAGAAACAGTACATAAAATGAAGGCAGTAGAGGTGAAAGGTGTGATCAGATTTAAGCAGTGTGTTACCTTAAACAGTGCTAGCACCCTCAGGAAACAAACGGGAGTCTTAAGAACAACAGCGTAAGTGTCAGAGGCAGTTTGGCGGGAAGACCTTGCTGCTGGAGGTTCACCATCCTGAGCACATGGTTTTCTGATGTCTTGGAGCGCAGAGAGAGGAGGATGGAGGTGAAACATGAGCTCTTGGCTGTAGCCTTTTTGGCCAGAAATAGTG